ATGATACTTATTATTATTATTTTTTTAACTGATGTTCATATTGCAGACTGCAAGCTGGGTTAACGCGCTAGCGCAAGAGTTCATGGAGATCGTTAGAGAGTGCAATAGCTTGCAGAAGTAGAATGAAAAGCTGTAGAAAGAGAAGGATGAGATGCAGAAGAAGCTGGATGAGATGGTACCAACAATGACTGGTCTTCAGGACGAGAGGAATTCGTTGAAGACAATTCTTTCATTTGAAGAAAAGAAGAGGAAATTGTGCAAAGAACATATTGAAGCACAAGATCAAGAAATAAAGGAAATGAAAGAGTTTAAGGCTGAGCTCAAAAAGAAAGTGAAGCTGTTGGTACACAATGGGATGGAGGAGCATATTGCTGAGTTCATCTACTCCAGCACTTTTGAGAACATTTTCAATCTTTATCAGCTACCTACCACGATCCTTGCCTTCACCGATTGCAGAAAGAAGGTGAAATCTCAATATTCCAAAGTGGATGTAACAAAGATCACCTTTGGCGAACAAGAAGAAGGAGTGGAGAAAGACGGTGAGAGTATGTTAGTTGATTTCCGACCTCAAATTAAGCTGAGGTGGGATCATGATGAAGAAAGTCACATTGTTTTTCCTCCCAAATTTAACTTCGAGTTCGTTATAGTTGAGGAAGGGGAAGCAAAGGTAGAAGGTACTGAAGTTCAGGAGAGCCAGCCACCTCTTCTAGTAGAGGTCCATCCAGTTCCTTCAGAAGAAGAGCAGCCACCTTTTCTTGTAGAGCAGCAGCCACCTCCCCCAACAGACTAGCTAGGGTTTTATTTTTTGATTTAAGGTTTGTGTTAACATTGGAACAATTTGTTGACTTTTTATGTTGAACATTTTTGTAATGTTTTTTAATCAATTCATGGATTTACTTGAAGTTTGTTGGAATATTTGTTTTGGGTTTTATTAACATAAGAATTGAGATGAAGTGGATCACTTCGAATGTGAAGTGGAATTCATTAGTAGAAGTCAAATCCAGGAATGAAGTGAATTACAAATTGATCTCGGAAGAAAGTTCAAATGAATGAAATTAATCTCAGAAAGAGAATGTAATAATCATAAAGGGAAATAAGACAAAGTTCGTTGAAAGAAGTGGATTATGGGTAAAATTTCTTCAAGTTGTTGACATTCTAGACTCTAGGAACTTTTTTCCCTTCAATGTCTTGAAGGATATAGGCACTAGGATGTGGCACTTCGGCCACTGTGTAAAGGCCTTCCCAGTTCGGTGCTAGTTTGCCAAAACAAGTTTCAAATCCAATTAAGCCAGCTTTTCTCAGAACTAGGTCACCAACTTTGAATGTTCGAGGATGAACTCGTTTGTTGTAAAAGTTGGCTAATTTCTACTTGCACACCAAAGTTCAAAGTCGTGCTTCCTCTTTCACTTCGTCAAGCAGGCCAAGGTTCTTTGAAGCAGTTGTCCATTTCGTCCTTCATCGAAATGAGTGACCCTGAAGCTTGGGACTCTTATTTCAATAAGAATGACCACTTAGGTACCAAAAGCCAGGTGGTAGGGTGTTTCACCTATTTCATTGAGTTATAGTTTTTAGAATATGCTTTATATGTTATGCATATTTGACTTAAGGTAAAGCCATAGAAGAAAAAATAAAGTAGTTGAAAGTAACTTAAGTTGAAGTTATTTACTTGTGCCAATTCAGCTCGTAGTTCTATATGCCCAAAGGACGTTGTTGGGCTCATTTGCTCACCTGGCCTTGTGCTGCTCCAACCTCAGTTTGATTCCCTCCAAGATAGCTTTGTTGACAGATTTTACCATACCATTGGACTTCGGATGGTATACCAAGGTAAATTGTAATTTGATCTCATAATTGGAGCAGAAATCTCTAAATGAAGAACAGTTAAACTAAGTGCTATTGTCAGACACAATTTGATTCGGGATCCCATATCTATAGATGATTGAGCTGAAACAAAGTCTTCGACCTTTTTGGAGGTAAGGTTGGATAATGGCCAAGCTTTAACCCATTTCGTAAAATAATCAACATCAACAACCAAATGGCTTACACCTCCAACCCTTTTCGTGAATGGGCCTAAAAGATTAAGTCCCCATTGAGTAAATGACCACAATGCCACCAAGTTGATGAGCTCTTCTGTTGGTTGGTGAGTTAAGTGTGCAAAGAATTAGCACTTTGGACACCTCTGTACGAACTGGGTGGCATCTTTATACATATTCAACCAATAATATCATTGTTTGAAGACTTTGTGAGCCAGGGTTCTAGTGTTAATATAACTTCCACATACGCTTTCATGTACCTCCCGAAATGCGTATTCAGCTTCATAAGGATTCAAGCATCGAGGGAGTGAGAAAGATCTCTTATAGAGGACTCCATCAACAAGTGTGTACTAAGATGCTTTCTTCCTCAACTTCATCTCTTCTTGTTTATCTCCAGGCACTGACCCATTTCGTAATAAAAAGACATTTGGATCTGTCCAGCTTGGTGTATTCGGATCTGTGCTGATCTCCATCACTTTTGGCTTTAGGAAGCTTGGCTCATTTAAAACTTCAATGAAAACTGATTTGGAGCTTTAGGAGCTATTAGAGGCGAACTTAGAGAGTGAATATGCCTATTCATTTTCAGTTTGGGGTATTTTGCTCAAACAAAATTTCTAGAATTTGCACCTCAGCTCGGCCACCAGGGCTACATACTTTATCATGACAAAATCAACCACCTCACAGACTGAGTTAACTTGATTAACCATGAGTTGTGAGTCACTGTATATCTGTGTTGCAGTGACTTTCCGTTCCAGTGCCAGTTGCAAGCCAAGTAGCAGAGCTTCGTATTCAGTCATGTTATTAGTTGCATCAAAATTAAATTTCAGAGCATGATCACTTCGGTATCCATCTGGGCCAATTAGGGTTGCGCCAGCTTCAGAGCCTTTGTTACTTAATGTTTCATCAACATATAGAACCCAGTTATTCAACTCAAGCCTAGAATTTGAGTGATCTAAGGCACATTCCACAATAAAATCTACCAATGCTTGAGCTCGGATTGCGGAACTTTGTTAAAACGTTATTTCGAACTCCCTCAATTCAATTGCCCATCTGATCAATCTTCTTGAGCACTCTGGCTTCTATAGAATCTATCAAGAGGTTGGTCTATGAGGACTATGATTGGGTGTGATTGGAAATATGGCCTTAACTTTTTGGCTGAAATGACAACTATTAACGCTACTTTCTCAACAATAGGGTATCTTAGCTCCGCTTCGTATAGTACGCTGTTGGTATAATAAACTGGTTTTTGTTGTTTCCCTTCTTCTCTCACTAGCACAGAACTAATTGCTTCATCTAAGATGCCGACGTACAAATAAAGGATCTCTCCATCTATAGCTTTTGTCAACAAAGGGGGTGAGCTAAGATAAGACTTCAGCTCATCAAATGTAGCTTAACATTCTGAGTTCCATTCAAACTTCTTCTACTTGCCAGACTCATCCTTCTGAGCTGCTGATCTCATGATCTTGAAGACTGGTAGACATTTATTTGCTTATTTCGATATAAATCTGTGAAGAGTTGCCATTCTCCCAGTTAGTCTCTACACATCTTTCACTGACTTCAGCGGTTCCATCTCGGCTATTGCTTTGATCTTTTCTGGGTTAACTTTAATCCCACTCCTGGATACCATGAAGCCTAAAAATTTTTCAAACTCCACACCAAAGATACACTTCGTTGGGTTCAATCGCATTCTATTCTTTCTCAGGTTGTTGAATGTCTCATCGAGATCAGCTAAATGATCTTTGGTTTTCTGGTTCTTCACCACGATGTCATCAACATAAACTTCCAGATTCCTGCCTATCTGAGCTCGGAATATGATGGTCACCATCTTCTAGTAAGTGGCACCTGCATTCTTTAAGCCGAAGGGCATTATGACATAATAATAAATTTCATCACCTGCATGGAGCGAGGTTTTCTCTTCATCCTCGGAGCCATTGGGACCTGGTGATAATTAGAATATGCATCTAAGAGACTTAATCTCTCATTTCCATAAGCTACCTCAACCAGTTTGTCAATGTTCGGCATCGGATAACAGTCTTTGGGACAAGCCTAGTTGAGATTTGTCTAATCGATGCACATTCACCATTTATCATTTGCTTTCTTGACCAACATTGGATTGTCTACCCATTCACAATAATCAACTCTTCTGACAAATCCAGCTTGCAGAAGTTTCTCCACCTGTTTCTTTATGACCTTAAGCCTCTCCCCCCCCAACCAAAGAGGTGTCACTTCTGGGCTACAAGTTTCTTCAATGGATTGGTGCTGACCTTGTACTAAGATACCGAGGTTGGAATCCTTGGCATATCTGCTAAGGTCCAAGCAAAAACGTCTTTATTAGCTTGAAGGAAAGCTATTAGTTCTGCTCTTTCCTCTGGGTTCAACCAAGTTTCGATCTGTGTCTTTCTATTCAGATCTCTATCATTGATCTATACTTCCTTGACATCTTCAACTGGAGCAGCTCGGGTTTCATCTTCAGGTCTGTTATCAAGTATTTCAACCCCCATGACCTGTTGGTTATTATGAACTTCCTTTGAAATGGTTCTGGTGTTTAGTCTTTTCCTTTCTGAGGCCTTGTAACCGAGGTAATATAGCAATGTCTAGCCACCTCCTAGTTGCCTCATAATGTTGCTATCCCATGGAAGTTGGGAACTTCATACAGAGATGAGATTGAGAAACAACAACTTGGATCTCTGTCAATGTGGGCCGACCAATAACGACACTGAAGGACGATGCCATTTTAACGACTAAGAATCGAACAAAGGGGGTAACATAGGTTCGACTGCTCCCAAAGGCAACATTGAGAGTAAGGGCTCCTTCTACTTGAACGGGTTGGTTGTTGAAACCATATATAGGGCCATCATATCTGATGAGTTGAATTTATATAGATATTAATGTGAAATTTTTATCTTGATATTGTTGATATTTGGATGAGTTTTATGAGATTTTACTTGATTTTACATAATTTTTATTCTTTGTGTAGAAAAGAATTTAATTGGAAGAAATCATAAATTTTAGGAGTAAATTGCAAAGATCAGAAACTTGAGAAACTTGAGGATCAACTTGTGCAGATCCAGAAGTCAGGGACTAGGACTATTATTTTACCATTACAAAAATTACTAAGAAGGCCAAAAACCTGACACGGGATGGCGTTGTGTGCTAAACAGAAGCGTCGGCACCTTGTTGAAAGTGTTGATCCCTTATGCGATTTTCACCAAATTCATGTTTAATTAGTTATTATGGGTGTGGGTCCCACTTTTCTCCCAATTAGGGTTTCTAAAATCTTATAAATACCCATCCAAATTTAGAATTAAGGGAGCTTGGTAGAGGTTGGTGGCAGCCCTCTTTGGGGCATTCTTGAAGATCAAGAGAGAGGATGCAACAATAAGAGATCAAGGATTGTAATTTTCTCAAATTGGGTTTTATTCTTCCTTGTTATTCTTATATTCATAACTATGATTTTAGATTTTATTATTTTTTACTAGGGCTACGATGTAGCCTAATCAATTCAATATAGATTTTGTGATTCTATGCTTTCAACTAAAGTTATTTACATGAGTTTATATTATTGAACTTAATACATTAGAAGCCTGATTACCTTTCAATTGATTTAGTGGTCTAGGCATGAAATTGAGAAAGAATTATGTAAATTAGACTAATAATAATATAAACCATGTGCTAGACTATGAGACCGAAAGGTAATTAGCTCACATGTGATAGTGGAAAAAGAGAAGAGAGTTAGGAGCTCCTCCTTCTTAAGCTAAAGGTTTTCATAAAATTTAATACTCATTAGTTTGTTTAAAATTACATAAAGATATGATTAATTTAACAAACAAGTGAAAGATTAACTTGACTTGAAAAAGTTAGTTAATTAATTTAGGGAAATCCGCCATCACATGCAATAATACTTAACAAATTAGCATATTAATCCAGAATTTATATTGATTGATTATGGTGAAATCAATGCTTTAGTACCTAATATCTTGGTTAGGTTTAATTTAATTGTTATTTTCCTTTTATTATTCTTTAGTTAAACTTTCTTCCTTTTCAATAGTTCAAATAAATTTAGATTAATTATTTTGGTACTTAATTAAATACAATCCTTATGGGTTCGACACTCTTTCATCATTATATTACTTAGAGCGACTAATCCGATTGCTAGGGTGATTTTAGTGCATCAGTATCTCTACAATAGAGCTGGATCTAGGCCTAGACTCTCAAAACAGTGATAATACATGATATCTGGTGCACTCCCTGTGTCAACAATGACGTGTTGTCCCTCAGTTATTAATTATAACAGAGGTGACCAAAGGATCATTGTGAGGTGTTACAACCGCATCAAAATTAGCAGGTGTAAAAGTAATTTGTTGATTCTTTTAGTCAGCATCATCAAACTTCCGTTTCTAAGCTCGTTTTGGTGCTTGACCTCTCTGACATATAACTTCCTCTGCTTGGAGCTCAAACCCCCTACTTCCAATCTTCCTATAATCATGTGTATAATTCTGGCTGATGGCAGAAGTGGAGGTGGTGCTTGTTGATATCTCACACCTTGCCTATTTGCTACATTACGAGATTCTTGTGGCTATGGCCCCTGTTCTCTAACAAACTTCGGCTGCTCTGTTCTCTGGATATATTCATTCAATAGTCCCTTTTGAGCTAGACTTTCCAATTTGAACCTCAGACTATTACATTCTTCCATTGTATGACCATGATTTTGATGAAAATCACAGTATCTAGTATGGTCATGCGTAACAGCAGAACTTTTCATCGGCCCTAATCACTTCAAATTCATCTTATTCTTGATCTGCATGAATATTTACGACCTCGGCAGATTAAAAGGAGTCCATGTAACTGGTACTTTATTGGTAGTTTGTTGGAGAGGTACCGAGTTCGATCTTCTGAATCTCGGTGTAGAGGCCGACATTGGACCTTGATTCTGTATTGTCTTCGTCCTTTTTCTGCTCTGGCCCTCATCTTTCTAAACTAGGTTTTGATTCTTAGCAAGAACTGACTTCTGTGACAAGGCATATTCCTCAACAGTTATGAATTTTAAAGATTTGTCATTAACCTCGTTAAAAATGGCAGCGGGATGCTTAATTAAGGTGTCTCTAAATCGTTCATGGTTAAGACCCTTAATTATAGCTGCAATTCCCACAACTTGATCGAATGAGCTAACCTCCAAAACTGCATCATTGAATCTGCTCATGTAATTCTTTAGAGATTTTCCATCTCTGTGCATGATTCACATCAATTCAGAAGTAGTTTTCCTAATCAACCTCCTACTGAAAAACTTTGCAGCAAAAGCAGATGTCATCTCTATATAAGAATTGATAGATCTTGGAGGCAAACTGTAATACCACATTCGAGCATTGCCTCGGAGAGTGGAAGGAAAGATCTTACACATCAATGCATTAGAGGCAATTTGAGCCTGCATACAGGGGTAAAAAGCATACAGATGATCATCTGGGTCCTTCGTTCCATCCTATGTCTCGAGCTGAGGTATCCTGAAACCAGTAGGATAAAGTTCCAATGTTATGTTGGTGTTCAGAGGATGAGGTATTGAAGTAGTGTTATGGTGAAGAGGTGAAGCACCTCGTTGCTCGGCTACCATTTTTTCTAAGCTGTCTAGACGTCGTGTGACATTGTCAGGTAGAGGTTGTTGAGCTGGGGTCACATGAGACTGACCCTGAGGCTCATTAAGGGCAGAAGCATGTTGAACTGGTTGGGGCTCTTGCTGTTGAACTAGAGGTTGTTGAGTAGAGTTGAGTAGATTAATGAGGGGATCACCAAGATTATTTCGAGCTAAAAGTTGAGCCAAAACCAACTGAAAAACACCAAACTGTTGTTGCATTGCGGCGAGCTGAGACTACATCACCTTGGTTCGGGATGGGAGCTAAATTGTGAGCTGAATTGTGAGGTTGGTTATCATCGCCTCCTTCTGCATGTTTAATAGGAGGGAATAGATTCGGGATATGAGGTGGAAGGTTATTGAGGTATTAAGCTTGGCCTTGGGCAAGAGGCTGAGCTTGGCTTTCAGCTCAGACAGATCAAGTGTTAACCATGATGAAAGAGCAACAAAAGGGCTTTTAGTTCGGATTCCCATAGACAACGCCAAATGTAATTGCATCAAACCAGAAGTCCTTTTTTAATTCGTTTCTTCAGTCCAGATAAACTTGCAAAGCCCTGAGGTAGATCCTCGGGGTAGACACTCCGATGTTTAAGTCAGTAATAATCGGATCTACCTTTAAAATAATGGAAAAAGAGAGTTTTAGGTTAGTTTCAATTACCTATCTGAGGTGGCCTTTAGGGGGTATTTATAGGCCTTAATGAGGTGTCCATGTGGCCTAGTTAACCAGATAATCGAAGTTTGACGTGTCCCTTCAGCTGATAATATTGGGACCGAGAAATCAAGTGCGAACACGCTCATTGTACCTATCATACAACTGTTTGATAGGGAAGTGCTGGATTTATCCTTCACTTCGGTTATTAACGAAACGTAACAGTACGTCTGCGGTTAAGAGCCTCTGACTTATCCTTACTCTTCTCTTTCTCCCTTCTTTCTCCCCTGCGTGTGCAGTTCTAGGGTTATTGGAAGCATTTGGTTTTCGGGTGGATATATTGGAAGAAATGTCATCTTGGGTAGGCGATTTGTGGCTTTCCCCGAGGGTTTTGCCATATCGGGTTGGCACTGGTCAGTGGCGGAGCCCCCCCTCGCCCCCCCTGAAATTTGAAAATCCTGTACATTAATATATGAAAAATTATGTAGCCCCCCCTGAACTTTGAAAATTTGTGAAGAAAACTTTGAAAATTTTTGAAGAAATTAAAAGTTAAGGGTGCAATTCATCAAGAAAGAAAAAAAAACCCAACAAATCTAGCCCAAACTTAAATCTTGAGCCCACTAACCATTTAATTCAAGTCTCAACCCAATTTTATAAATCAGCCCATAAACCAAGTGCCCATCAAAATCCAAACCCAACCATAAAAAACCCTAGTCTTCTTTATCCCTTTGAAAAAAGCAGAGTAGATTTCGAAAGAAAAGAGGGGCACGGCAGAACACAAAAAAAAAAAAAAA